TCGGGTTTGAACCACGGACCTTCCGGTCAGCAAATTCGTGCCCTAACCACTTGAGCTATCTCGCCCAAAAACCAGTTTTAACGCGGGACTCCACTGAATCCCAGTTGAACCTTTCCTTTTTGTTACACCTCATCGATGAGTTTTCACGAACCTAGCGTGTTACTCCTGGAACTACTTTTCACAGTTTACCCAAGACAAATTCTCAAAAGTTCAACGCAGTGACGAGTGAAAATCCTTCAGATCATTGATGGGAGACGAGAGGAAGGTAAGAGTTAATCAAATAAGAGGACTGAATCGAAGGTGACAGAGTGTTGATCAGCCACTCGTTGCCGAACGGTTTAAACACTGGCCAGAAGGTCGCGGGTTCGAAACTACTGGCGGTTTCCAACACGGTCGAAACAGCTGTGCGGTAGTTCTCGGCTTTGAAGTACGAATTAGCTTCCCTTATAGGACGAGTTCACAAGTGAAGATTCTCATCACTTCTCCTAATCCACAAACAGCAGTGCACGTTGGCAGACGCTGTCAAACACGTTTATACAATCCGTGCTGATTCTGTCGAGTGAAAGAGCAAACGAGTGGATTAGATTTGCGGGAACATCCAGCATACAACACGACTGTCTTTGAGTAACATGTCTTGGGTCATCTTAGGAGTACTATAGAGCAGCGCGGAGGGACTTTGGCTATCCTTAACAGGTTGAAATCGCCTATACTGACTGTGAGTTTGCAGATGTGGTGAACGGCCTATGGATTTCAGACAGACACACTACTTATAAGGTTGCTGAAAACTTTTCAGCAGCCCAGTTGGAGAAATACCCGATACAAGAGCGAGAGAGAGATGCAACTAACTCTGCCCGTTAAGACCAAACTAGTTCGCGGTCTGGGGAGTTGTACACGAGAATTTGTCATCCTGCATCAATTTTTTCCACCAATTACGCTCGAGAATATCACTCAAGCGTGTAATTTCCGCGACAAGACAGAATGAGGCCTCGTAAGAAACAACTAATTTATGTTCCGTTCTTGTTCAGCGGATAACAGCAATCCACGCTTGGCTGATTTGCACTCCCGAACGCATATTCTGTGTCTCAGTGCAGAAAAGACAGGTACTGGCGTGAAATTGCAAGACGAGGAGTGTACAACAAAATAGTAGAATGTGTGCGGGGGAGTATCAAGAAGTCATTTTTGCACAACTAATTTTATGTTTTCCGTACACCTGCAGGTCGTTAAGTAACACAGGTGTATCTGTTCCCGTTTTTTTGTTTACCTAGCCGGTCTAGTCATCCCTGTACAGAAGGAAATATCCGAAACTTTTTTTGTATACACTTTTCGTTGGTTCCCGTACCAACTCGAGAGTTTTTGGATGTGTGGAAGGCACCAGATTTTGGAGCATGATAAACACATGTGAATAAAGCTAATCTGTGCAGTGTGGTTTCATCTGACGTGTTTCCCACGCATTCCATAATGATGAAAAAATGTTTGTACATTGACGTTTTTGGCCAGATTGCGGATAAAAACGGAATCTTACAAACTGGATTCCTGCTGGGGCTTGATCCAACGTCCCATACATCTGAGGTTTATCTTCTTCAGAGCTGTCAAGTTCAATGATGTGGGACGTCCATGCGTTGGAGACAAAGAGCTGAATGTTTCCAACTGAAGCTGAGCTATTCAAAGCTGCGTGTGTGTGTATCCCAAATTATGAAAAATCTGAATGTTTTCGAGAAATACACTCATTCTCAAGTCTATTTGGTTTTCACGAGAGACACAACTGAGTCTCTCGTTTATGATACTCTACAGCTGAATGTGCTGCACCAGGCCACCTCATGATTCAGTGGGCACGATATTCGAGATATCGCAATATGTCTTCACAAAGGAAACTACTCACAAGGGTTGCTGAAAACTCTTCGACAGCCCACGACCGGTTTCGCCCTTCTTGGAGCTCATCAAGTAGGTGCAGTCGCCGAGTTGCCGTCAACCTTGTGATCTACTTGAACCCAGATTGGATCGTTTCCGAGAAATACACTCATTCGCAAACCAATTTGGTTTTCACGAGAGACTCAACTGAATCTCTCGTTTATGATATTCTACAACTGAATGTGCTGCACACAGGCCGCCTCACGATTCAGTTGGCACGATATTCGAGATATCGCTGTCTAAGAGTTTTCAACAACCTTGTGAGTAGTTTTCTTTCCCTTGTGAGTGGTTGCCTGAGTAATTTATGGAAAAAATCACCATGTCGCATTTTTAATTCATCGGGAACGATTTCATCTACCGTTGGTTTCAGTTTTGTTTTTCAATTGTTTCTACCATCTAGTGATGTTTTTCAAACGAAAAATTCCTTTGCGTACAATCTATAGGGCCGTGGTCTCGATACACCCGTGTCCGCTATTTTTGTCTGCCTGAAATTATTGCACGCTTTTTTGCAATCCTTTATATGAGTGCTGGATGACGAAAATTCACTTGTTCTCTTGCCAGTCTCACACGCGCACTTAGGTTTACATCAGGATGTCTTGTCTAATTGACAGCTATTCACACTACTGCTCAGCAGCCCGTAACCAAACGGTTAAGCGTTCAAACTACTAGCCGGGGGGTCGCGGGTTCCAGCCTCTTGGGAGTTTCGTGAGATGCGTACTGCTGATGATTCCCAATAAGGATGAGACAGCTGTACAGTCTTCTCGGCTTTTCCGCACAGACTGGCTTCATTTAAAAGGCGAAATTTCCACAAAAATCTCCAAATCTCTTCCAACAATCAATGAGTAGCTCAGTGGAAGAATAAAATTCACCCGATGAGTGAAACTTCCATCTGAGGAGTCGTTGCTCGAGGAGCCAGTCAACAGTGTGACCACGTGATGTGGATCCCGTGATTGACGGATGAGCGGTGCTATATCCTGTCTAAATGCGAGTTAATCGCATTGCATGTCAGGTGTCCGGGGTTCAAATCCCGGCACGGCCATTGGATATGCACTGCTGATGAGCTCTAATAGGAGCGAAACTCGAGTTCAGTGCTTCTTTTTCGTGTGGACCCACCGGAATAACTACGTTAGAACAGAACCACGACCGTTCAAACGAGAAAGGTGTGACTATGAACAAAATTTAGTATTCCCTCTCTGAAAGGCCCACTTCCAGGAGGGACCGCCATCAAGAGACAGCAGTCCTGAGAAGATATCATCTCGATTGGTAGCATGGAGTACGACTGAATCGTAGAGTCCATCACAAGTTCCACTTTGTTGCAGTAGATGGCCTATCCGGTGTTTCAGTTTATTCGAATCAGTAGGTCTGAATCTTTATCAAGCCGTCTGGGATGCGTTTAGATGACTTCTTGTTCGACTCTGTGCAAGCGAGTGGTGAACACAGTCCAGTGGATCTGCTCAACTCTTCACTTGATCTTATACTAAGTAATAAGTCAGATAGGAGTATCTCAGAGAGTCATCACCGGGGTTTCGGGTACCATCAAGAATCAAGAATACGAAAATCGACCGTATGTCGGTGAGTTTGGCACGTGATTTTTCCACGTGATTTGATTGGTTCTACCGGTTGCAAGTAGCCGTAGGTCCTCCTCTTGAGAATTAATAAAAATATGCCCTTCTAAACCAGTGATCATTAGAAAAACTATCATTCATTTCCTGAGTTCTATTCACGCCGTGTAAAACCGATGACTCGGACGAGGTCACAGAGCTTGGTTAACAGGCGAGTACTGACTCCGGAGCAGGCCGATCTGGTGGGCCTTGAATGAATTCCGCGTGACTGAATCCATCATCTTCTTTAGCTGAAGTTAATAGTTCGTCACTTCTCCAGTCGTCAAAGTCGTTCAACTGTAACACCCCTTAGATGACTAGCTGTCATGCCATCTGGAGGGAGCTCGAGTGCTGAGATACTGCCTGGTTGCCCAATCTAGAGGGGGGCGGTCGTGATGTCGGGGTTGGGTTGGAACCTCAGACGTTCTGATCAGTAAGTTGGCTCCTTAACTGTTGAGCTACCTCGAACTGCATACTTCACTAGCGTCAAGCTTTCCTGTAGAAGCTTCTGCGTTTGTTTTAATTCCCATCTAGTGTGTTTATCCAGAATTGTCATAAATCCCGAAGAAAGCGAACTAACTGGATGAACAAAACGGCTTCGTAGAACAAATGAGGAGGTATAACAGAAATGCGGATTTTTTAAATGGAATATACCACTCACTAGGTTGCTGAAAACTAATGAGTAGTGTGTCAAGTAAATATGTGTGATATCGAATATGGTGCTAACTAAGACACGAGATAGCAAGATCACTTGATGTACTCAAGCTCATCATACTACTGACTAGTGTGCGTGAACCCGGGAGGCAAACTATGGAAAGATCTTATGAGTCTCCCTCATGTGGACTGAAAGATATAAGGAATAGTATCCGAATTCTCCCGATTTTTCTCCCGCAAAATACCTGAGATCGGCATTTCCATCTTTCGTGCACTTAGCAAACCTTTGACAACACAACGTTGATAAAAACGACAGGCTGTGTGAGTGCAAACATGAAGACGTTAAAAGTAGCTCCTGATTCAGTTCTCTCCGGAAGGCTAAGCGTGCATCATTTTTTCTCATTTATGTTGACCTTGCATAATTCGGTTGGTTTGAGCGGAAACAACGGAACTGTTCCTTACTAACCATTAAAACGATATCTAGATGTAACATACTACTCACGGCGACATTGTGAGTAGCGTGTTACATCGAGATATCTGCGATATCTTAGATATTGGTACAGGCAACTAAAGAGAGGCTTCATTAACGACAGATTCAACTGAATTCCGTTGAGTACCCGATTAAAGCCAAATTAGTGCGCAAATTGGAGCGCTTCGCGAATCAATAAAATCGAATCTAAGCCCCTTATGTTTGTTCACTAAAGGACAAAACGGCACGTCTATTGAGTTTAACTTTGCCCACAGGTGCTCGTTTTAAAAAAAGACCTCTTGAACGCAATGAGTGATCATGCCAATTGTGACTTTTCTATCGACTTTTTTTCTATCCCCCGCATCTAGAGTACTTACTCAACAAGTACAGTGAACTTCAGGGCAGTATTCTGGCTGTGGAAATCCCCCTTTCGAATGTGATTGTTGAAATTGGTCATGCAAAACTCCCAATGTTGGGTCTTCAACTTGCCGGTCACAAAGATTTGAATCAGATGAGCGTGTTCGTGTGTGGCCTTCGACCAGGAAGCATTGCTGAACGGGATGGACGGATTGAAGTGGGCGATCAACTGCTCGAGGTAATTACAGATGATGATGACGTCAAGTAGTGTACTTTTTGTAAGAAACTTGTGAAGAAGTGCAAATCCAAGAAGGGATCAGCTATGGCAAAAGGAGGTCTAGAGCCATTTTGTTGGTGATGTGACCTTGCTCTTACTCACTTTATCCACCCAACTTAAATCTTTTCCACGGCTAAAACAAGTGACTGGTTGCTAGCAGATCCATGCAGAAACAAGTGTCAGGACTAAACGTCGGTTTCACTTCCAGGAAAGACAGATCATTTCTAGTCTGCACCGGTTGAGCAAGCTGTGACGGGTTCGAACCCCGCGAGACATGTCACCACCGCACTAAAGAATGACAGGTAGACCTGACTTGTTTTTACCTGAAAATACAGACATGGTTTGGTTTGCGCGGCACGTCAACCAACTAGCGTTCCGATAACTGCCCCATGTGGCGTATCTGAGAAGGACCGTATCGTCCACCTCAGGTTCACTGGGGGGGGGGGAGAGAGAACCAAGTCAGACAGAATGGCTTGACAGTGGGCGATAGGTATGGTGCTTTTATGGTGGACGCCCGTGAGCACTCGACTTTTCATGAAATAGCCATTATTGGATTCTTATGAAAGACGCGATCTCTGGGCACGTTCAACCGCTGTATGGATCTTTGGGTGGTACTGCATAAACAAAACAGACTTTAACCGTTTCCATGATAAATTCAAAATCAAACACTCAGCACCAAGGGGAAAGAGGGCATTGTGTAGAGATGGACTTTTTTAGAGGGACCGCGCTTGACGAGACACGTTGATGTATACTCTTCAGAATAGTCGGTCCTATTCGAAGGGATCCTTTTTGAAATTTCTGGCTGTGTTTTGTTCTCATTGTGCCAATTTTTATGTTCAGTCTTTACGATGTCGAAATGATGGTGTTGCGAACTGAGCAGTGAACGGAAAAGCCAATCAAACGCTCACCTGATGTTCTGCCACTTACTACTCACTCAATCTTTCGACCTCTGCTGTCAACTCTTAAGCCTGAAACGTGGGCAAAATCCCATGAAAATGTGAAAGACTTTTAAGGACAGGTTAACAATTTGAAGATGTCAGGGAATCGTGGATTACAACTTGTCGGGTACTTCGAAAGATTTATCTGCTTATGCATTATTGATGGTTTAAAACATCGTGTGTACCATTTCAAAACGAAAGCCGGCAGTCTATCCGAAGTCTTCTGTGGGTTGATTCGAACCCGGGTCGTCGAAGTGGAAGCAACACATTGTCGGAAGACAATCCCCCGATTCACTTCAAGCCTGGTCTGAATATGTGCTGGTAGACCTTCCGTCGATGGAATTTCGCTGCTCGCATTCCTTTAGTGATATCAGTGAACTTTTAACTAAAGAGCTTCGTCAAGAGAAGTAACTAGGTTTCCAGAGTGACCAAGTTTTAAGACGGTGAACCAGCCAACCAGTTAGGTCTCTTACAGATAGCCGACTTTATCAGTACTGAGTGTTAGTCAGACCTTCTTCCTTGTCGATGCATGTTGATGACTAACATTCGCGATAGATGTTTGGGCTGTGGGAATCACCATCCAGGTGAATCAGGATTTTTATGTCTTGCTCCTCCGGTCTGGAGCACTTTAATGGATTATCCCTCTCGGGTGTTGTCCGCAAATTTTGTTTGGTGCTAGGATAGTTGGGTTGGTATTTTGGGGGGTTAAGTGAATCTTACTCAGCTCGGGTTTTGTACTTACAACCCAGGATAGTTCACAGGTAAGCTCCCGTTCCCTGGTATCCCCTCATTTGATATAAAACCACTCTCCTTACACACATGTTAGTTCTACACTCTCTGTTCTGTTCACACCGGGATGCTTCTCGATTTCCATCGCCTCTGCCACCAGTAGCTGTGGGTTGAATCTTAGTTCTCGATTGGAAACGCCCGCACTTTCTAAATCTATTCTGTGTCCAGTGCACACCCTCTCATCGCTTTCTTTGTGGGTTTTTCATGCGCCGACTAACCCATTCTGGTGCGCGACTTCCCGGCTGCTTGGCTTGTGCAGTCGGTACACTATACACAGTCCCTGGTCCTATCATTTGGGAGGTAGTTCTTAAGTTGCGTGAACATTTTCCCTTCTGGAACGCCATTTTGACGTTGGTCGTATTCAACACCTTTCTAGTGACTGTTTTGAATGGGCTGGCTGCTGTTCCGACCCTGTTTGTTGCTGGATCTTGTTGTTGGGGCCAATGACCGTCTAACTTGTCGCTTAACTGAACCCGCTGAGTATCCACTGCCTTGAAGTCCTCTGTTCACTTCAATCTCTGCTGCCGTTTGGTCGACATCCTCTGTGCACAATGCCCTGCTGAAATTAAAATAGCATATACGACCTCGGATCTACTGATGAGTAGTTTAAGACCAGACCTGTTTCGTGGTAAATTATAGTTTTCTGTGAGAATTAAGTTTCGCACGCATATCGGAATAACCAGACGAACTAGGAATTCTGAATTCTGATCAGCGTAACAAGTAGCACGCAAGTATTTGAATTGGCGTATATGTACAGCATATGGAATAGTAAAACAAGAGAATAATGAACAGAGCAATGAATAGAGTATCAATCGTGTTCATCACATCCGGCACAACTTGAACGAGCGTGTGGAGGTTTATAGCCAGTAGTGGTCTTGACCGCAATCTTTCGGATCTTCTCGGAACGGAAACTTCAGATTATTCACAGCTTGTGTGTTCTTCAGATTCGTTCTGTTCGGATACCATAAGATCATCTACAAAGGACTCATTAGTATTCGAAACAGCAGGAGTGCCGTTAACAGACTGACCTCTGGTATTGAACTCGACCTGAGGTCATCCAAATCGAGAACTGTGACCATCCGTTTGCCATTTGATGAAAGTACTATTCCTGTGGCAGGTCGTAAATCATTGCCCTTGAAAAATGTAACATCAGCCGTTTTGACACAGTCAAGACTTGTACACAACGAACGAGATTTAAATAGAAGCGC